GATATAGTGGTGGCGGCATGGCGCCAGTCACACAGCTGTCTCTTATACACATCTAGATGTGTATAAGAGACAGGAGAGAGAGAGAGAGAGAGAGAGAGAGAGAGAGAGAGAGAGAGAGTGTCTCACGTTTATTCTTTTATTTGGAACTACAGGGGTTGGACCTGCCAGCAGAGCAACGGTCGGGATCGCCGACGCAACGGTACCACACTACAGGATCAGCAGACACGATTGCCGTCGGGATCGCGTTCGGGGCCCTCGGACAAGGTAGCCTAGCGCGTGCGGCCTAGGGACACAACGTAGCGTGAGGCAAAAGGTTTCTATTCTTGATTCCCTCTTTTTTTTGGAGGGGGGGGAGGGGGGGGTCAACTCAATTTTTCGGTGTGGGGGGTTTCGGAGAAATGTTTGTGCTCAACTCAGCTGGCGTTTCCTCATCGTCGTCATGTTTAGCGGGGGCGATGCGATTTGCCCACCATAGCCGCCATCACCATGGTTACAGCTTGAAGGAGCTTCGATACAAAATTGCTTCGTCGTCGTCGTCGTCGTTGTCTCTTTGGTCGTCAGGAGGTTTATCTTCGTTGCCTTATCTGATCTTACCCTGTCGAGGAACGAGAGGGAGGATTGGTTTATCGTCGAGGGACGATAATCCGTTGTTGTACCCATTCTCAGCCAACGAAACTTTCCTCTTTCGGCGTTCAGCGTTCCTTTTCGGGCGATTCCCACAGCAGGCACCGTTGTGGTGGGGAAGAGGCAGCGGCAGCAACAACAGCGGCCTCCGTACAATCGCCAGGGTTGGCGGATTGGGAGGCCCGGGATTGGGATCGGGATCGGGATCGAATCCGGGTACGGCTGCAAGGTTCGATCTTGCTGCGGTTTCTTCGTGCGCCAGCAGTTTCGTCGATCCTGCGGCTGAACCTGGTCTTGATCTTGAACCTGCCGCCACTGCCAGTGCTATTTTTAGTTCGGCTAGCTGCATACAGGACATAGCCATGACCTCGGAGCAAATCCAACAGAAGTTAATGAAAGAAGAAGGGGAGGGGGAGGGGAAGGAGGAGGAGGAGGTGGTGGTAGACGATGGAGCAGACTTGATCCCTTTCTCATCGGCAACGAAAGAGCAGGTAGAGACACGTGGCGTTGTAGTTGGCCACGTGTCACGCAACAAGCAGATTACTGCAGAAGCCATCAATCCGGAACGGGTTTCAAAGAGCCACGTGGCGTTGTCGTTGATCGCTGA